ATGAAGTGGGAGTAATAGACCTCAACATACAAATAGAAAGTAACTATTTTGGAGCACACACAATGGATGCTTTATTCGACGATAGAATTTTTTTTGCGAAACCAGATAAAGAAGGCTCTTGGAGCATTTTTGGCTACAACATGACAAGATATGTGAATGATACTAGTAAATTTATCATTATCATTATTACGATTGTTTAAATTGCAATATATATGTTTTAACATTTCATTTGATGCAATTATATAGCGGGTTTCCGTAATCTTTTGATCAACTCATCAATCCCTTCTAATAATGCCACTTTAAATATTCGGAATACATCAAATCTTACTATTACATATAAGACGCTGATTATGCAATCATCATTTAACCTTTTAATTTACAAAATAAATCCAGATAACACAAAAATTTTGCGCCAAAAGTATTCATCATCCTATTGTTCAATTACGTTTAATGATGTATCCAATTACACTACAATAAGCTGTAAAATTCTAAGTAGCACTTTAATGAGTTTAATTCAAGTTATGTTATAATAGTTGAGAATGGATTTGTCAAAGATCTAAAATATCAAGAACAATTACCAGGAATTGCGGATAATTTATGGATGGTAAAAACAGTACCTCGTGAGTAAACATACAGAATATGAATATGCTAAGCTAGTTAAGATTGTTTCTTATTATTATTTATTAATGGATTGCTATTATTTCATGGGTAATATAGAGGGAAATAACAGTGACAATAAATATGCAGGTAAGTCTCGTAATTAGTAATCACTATTATGTTATAATTTTAAATGAAGTTATTTATAATATTACTATTATTATTAGATTCAGTCACTGGATATTTACGTTTGTCTAAAAGTGTGACAAATTATTTTATTTATAATTTGAACACCTCCGAACAACAACAGTATATCCAAAATTTAAGCAATGAGCTTATTAAAACCATTCCTACAAAGTCTTCAAGGTTGCATTTTTCCGGACGCTTTGAAGTTGATTCAAGTGGACAGATATTGTGCGAACTTTCAGTTTATGCACAACAAGATAATTCTGTTACCCAAATAATAGACGATATAAACACATTAATTAATAATAAATTTATAACGAATATAGATAATTCACCTCTTGACATTGATGAAACCTACAAATTTACACAAAGATGTAAGTATTCTCGAATAATGTTAGATTTTTATTTAATTTTCAAGTTCATTTAATTTGTTTATATCCACATATTTAGCAAATTTATTTGAGGAAATTAAGTATTTGTTGATTGAGTTAGCAGCTTCTATTCCAATTTATTTCATTACTTTATATTTACATAAAAGAACAAGAAATCAGAAAAAATGTTTATATTTTCGGAAATTTTCACCCACTAAAAGATGCCCTCATGAACTAAATTGTTTATCCGAATTTAAATGTTACAATATGCAAAAAGATGAATTTAATAACGTTTTCTCACAAAATAATGTAAGAGATTTTTAAATACTTTATTTTAAAACTGAATATAATAATGTCATATTCATTATAATTATAATTTTCTTTAGTGTAGTGGAATAGTCTTTTTTACGACAATTTTAAGCATAGCTCGCTTGGTCGCAAACATTTTATTTGTAATATACAATGTACGAAATATTCCAACGCTAAATCTTTTTGCTCCGAGGTTAGTATCATAAATTTTAATTTAATTCATTATTATATTTATATTAAATAATAAATATTTATTCATTTACCTTTTTTTTTTGGTAACATATTTAGCATTGTTATATTGTCAATTAATATTAGCCTGAATATAATTCTTGCATTTATAGTTTTGTCCAAAGAAATTTCAAATCGTTATTTCAGAGAATGGATTGCAAATAATGCTATATATGCTGCACTTTTTACCTTATTAGCGAGTGCTAACATTGATAATTTATTATTGCTAAGTTCTCATTTTGCGGGATTAGACATACTTACTGCTCCATTTTCGAACCAAGCAAAAAACATTATTTTTGGGGTAAAACTTTAACTACTATTGTTGATGATATACCATGGTTAATAATTCAAGTAAGTTCCAATATAAAATATAAAATTTTGAATTTGGTAATTTCTACACTCATATTGGATCCTGACACACTCATCTATAATGTAATGAAAAATGTCAAATGTTATTCCAAGATATCTACCTTCGTTTAGTTTTTCAATCTCAAGTATAATATTTGTTATTTCTCGATCTTTATCACTATTTCAAGGTCACTGATTCATATGTGAATAATTAAAACTCTTTTTTTACTAATTCTCAGTTGATTAGAGTATTATTAAACTTGTGGCAAATTTTCACAAATGACAGCTTCATATAATGTTTTGAAATACGAGAGATGATTTTTTGCATTTAGCATGAATTTTGAATTTTTACAGTGATGCTAAAGAACAAGTGCATGGAGTGTGTTAGGATCTAACTTAAGTGTAAAATTATAAATTATTGCTATCTTTACACTTGACTACTGATTTAAAATAATTTAATTTGATTTCTGCATTTATCTTAGGTGTATTACTATTCAAATACAATTACATATAAAACAGTTCCTTTACTTACTCTTATATTAAGTTTTATTTTATTGAGCATCTCAATTCTTCAAAAAGCATATGTATTTAGAAGCAAATATCACTATAAAATCTATAAACTATTATTTGATATGGAAATATATAATGGAAAAGAAGAGTTTTCTAACGAGTCATCTTTATACGAAAACGAAGGTATAGTACTTTAATATGATTTATAATAGCTAATAATATTTTATATGACAAGCTTAATTTATATGATTTTATTATCTATTATTAATAAGTATATAACAATTTAGAAGCTATGCTCAAAGAAGATAGAATGGATCGAATCGTATTATAATTTTGCAATCTATTTTTTAATCAATGAACAATGTGAAAAATATTTATAAAATAAATAGTTGTTCGGAGCAAATTGGAAGAGAAAGTTTTATTGTGCTGTTAATATGTACTCTTAGCTATCCATTCAGATTAGTTTCCATTTTATTTTATTCCTACTATACATGTATGGTTTTGTTTCGCAACAAAAATATTTTATCCTTAATAAAAATAATCTTAAATTTATCTTAATAAGCAAAAATTAATAATAGAATTAATATATTGAAATCGGGCGTTATAGCGAGTCAGTCGCTCCACAATCCAAAACTTCGTGTTACCTACGGTTGGCTTAGTCGAAAAGAGGCGTTTAGATTTGG